CCCCTCCATGCCTCAAGAAGACAGATAATCCTATTTCTTCCATCAATGTGAGATCCATTTGTGCTTGAAAAACCAGTCCTTTTTTCTCTGCTTCTTTCAAACCAAATATATAAACACACACAAATTTTTATTAAAAATTTCAAGTGAAAATAAAAACTAACCGAAACTAATACAGAGTAAAAAAAACAAAGAAAGAGGAAGAACGAGAAAAAGGACAAAAGTGCAGAAAGAAAAGATAAAAAGAAAGAAAAAGCTTCCAATTTTCTTTGCAGCAAATACAAGTATGATTACAAAGTTATCTCTTACTCTATGGTTACAGAAATAAAGCTCACTTTCTTCTATTATCTAATTTTTTTCTAATCATCAGAACCACAGGTCAAAAGTGTATTTTTTTTCTGTTTCATGCAAAAAGCCTATAAGTGGTTTCCAGTCAGCCATAAACGTAGATGTTTTCTTTTCTCAAACAAGGAGGTCAATTTAGCCATCTCTGTAAGTTCCATCATCTTCACCAACCATTCCTCCATTGTGGATGGTGTCAAGCCTCCAGCATTAAAGCCTTCTCCAGAGAGTTAGGTCTTCGCATAATGTGTCCAAATTAGGATAATGTGAACCTGATCATTTGTGCCTCAGGTGAGAACTCGAAATTGTTTTGTTCAATGGTTCATTTGTTTGTTTTCTTGGCTGTCCACTGTATTTTCAGGACTCTTCTCAGGACTCAAAACCAAATTTTATTTATATTTTTAGTAGTATGTAAAGTTGAAACATACAGTCCATTTGCTTATAATCTGAGTCTGTGTTTCCCATTAGACCATTTCTTGTGTGGTCCTATAATGAACAGCCAGCCACAGCTGCTAGATCTCCCCTCCATGCCTCAAGAAGATAATCCTATTTCTCCCGTCAATTTGAGATCCATTTGTGCTTGAAAAACCAGTCCTTTTTTCTCTGCTTCCCCCAAACCAAATGAATTCAAATTACAATCCTTGAGAGAGATGAATTAGTTTTACATTTGAGTAAACATGTTTATTATTATGTTGTAAGGACTTTCCAGGATATATATATATAAAAAAAAGATGTGAAAGTATCTAATAGGGCAAGCTTTTGACTGTGCTGGGTGGGGGGGAAGGGCTCGTTTTATCTTCATTGGCAAGGCAACCAAGATTGGTTGCTTGTTTGTTGCCATAGGACAGGGAGAAAACTTGTGCACTTTCTGTTGGTGTTTTGGATTCCAACTTCCATGAATTTCAGCTAGCTAGCTAGCCAACAGTTAACCAGGATGGCATTTGTAATCTAACAAACCCAGAGGACCACACATTTTCCAGCTCTGGACAAGTTAGACCTTTAATCAAGCAAAATGGAACTTACACAATGTTTATTTCTGATGCCACAGCATGCCAAAAGACCCTGGACTACCCTGGGCCAAATTCTTTCCCCTCCCTTCAGATCTTGCCAGCCTTGGAAAGAGAGCAAAAATTACTGACTTTTCCCTTAAATGAATTATGCAGTGCATAACACCTGACTCACCTGGTAATGGTCTTGGCCATTTCCTTCTTTTCCTTAGGGTTCCCACAAGGGGGGAAAATATACACGGCAATAATTATATTGAAAACCAAAGCCTTTGTGGGTGAAGGTTTGATTTG